TTTAAATTAGTCTTTCAAGGAGTTTGTTTTACAAGGTTGTTAACACAGTATTGCTTTTCTATTATATATAAGTTATTGGTCCATTCTTGAACCAACTATTTATTCCTTAGCGTTTTTCCCTTGCGTGCCAAAAGTTCTGTTTGTTACTGGTAGATGTTTTATATATTTTACCTTGATGTATCCCCATAATACCTCAGTTTTCACTCACCACAGCTGCTTACCAGTTAAAATTCACATTTCTCCATGTGGAAGTGCAACATATCATTATATAATTTTTTTTATCGGTTATTTGGAAGAATGGTTATATTTGTATATAATGTCTTTGTTATTCATTAGGTTTGTTTTATTACAGTCATAACTAAATCCTGAGAGTTGTGGTCAGAGAGCATGAACATAAGAGTAATGGTTAAATAGTGGATTTCCTGGTAATCTCACACATAATCAACAGAGTTGGAAACTGCATTGTGTTTTATGCTTCCCATGTACCTATACTGTTTTTTAGACTGTATGAATTTCTATTTGTATTGTGAGAATCCTAAGTCAGTTGTGTTTTATATACGTCCATAAATAAATTTTTGAAGTTTGATTGAACACCTTTCATTTCTACTTGTGTGCCATGGTCTTGAATTTCCGGCATTTTCTTTATGGTCGAAAGCAAAATAAATGTTCTAGACATCTAAGGTCATGTAGCACTATTTCATCTGTTTACCCTTTTCCTTCACTTTAGGAAAGTTTTTTTTTGTATTATTTCATTGTCTAAAATATTATAATGACAATTTAATAATTAAAACAACAATAACAATAATAACAGTATCGATAGCATTGGTATTAATTTTCCCGCCAATTCAATGAATGGGAAAATCAGGGTCGGTAACTAGGGCCTACAGATAGACTCCTTGCCGGCTGAGCACATGTGGAGCCATCTGTATGTAACAAAATTCACCAAAAAACTACAAGGGACAGAACATACATCAGGGGCGAATGGGTTAAGAGGGGTTAGGTAAGGAGGGATTATATTATGTAGGGAGGTCAGTGAAGGGAGGATAGGTGAGAATAAGCAGAGGTACAGGCTGTATCAAAGGTGGACAGGAGAACAGAATGTATGGAACTGCAAGAGGGACATTACATGGGAACGTAGGAGAGGATTAGAGAGGCATTTTCTGATAAGAAATGGTAGTTGGTATAGGAAAATGTGTCAGAAAAGTCTCTTGGAGAGCTATACTTTAGTTGATCTATAAGTGATAATGCGTACAGTGCATGGAGAATTTGAAGGGGAAGGAGCTGGGGAAGAGATAAGGAATGAGAGGGGGAAGGTGGTGATCAGGAGGTGGAGGATCTGGGGAAGGGCATAGTTGTGACATAAGGGATTCATGTGTGTATCCAGGAGGGAGTGGAAGGGATAATGGGGAGGGAGTGGAAGGGATAATGGGGAGGGAGGGTTAACCCAATGCCGCCGGGGAAAATGAACAAAGAATAGGGAAAATACTGTGCCCATTTTCTATGTTTTTCGTGAAATGTCTGCCGATAGATGGCTCTGCTAGCGCCTGATTTAAAATGGCGGGAAAAACGTATTTTTCACTAGTGCTATGAAAATCGATGGTGTTATTTTTATCATAAACATTATAATTTTATAATATTTTTTAACATTAGTAACAGCAAAATAAAATAACGTAAAATATTTTGTAAATCAAAGAAACAGGTAAACGGGCGAGACGGGCGGTGCTCGTAGTTGGCTCATTGGTGATTTAGTACAAGTGTTGCCATCTATGTTTAAAAACAATCAAACAAGTACTAACGGTGGGCATAGCACGTACGTACCCGGCACCAATAGGTTAATGTAAGTGGAGCTGGAGATAGAGTAAAGACGATTTAGAATGGCAAATGAATTTAACTGAGGGAGGTAAGAGGTAGAAGTGGGAAAGTAAGATGCAGGAGCGATAAATATAGGGGAAGGTGTAGGAACATCTTGGAAGGGAGGGAGAGGGGCAGAGTGAGTGACATTACTGGAGTAGGGAGTAAGATAAAAACCTCGTCAATGTGCTTCCTGTCGGGCTTTGCGTAGAGTGAGATCAAGTCTGAATCCGAGTTGCTACCTTAGACAAACCTGTAAGTAGGGCAGCCCCTATAGAATATATTATGGGGGCCGTCACAGTTGGCCCATGTGCATAACTGTGCAGAGCAGTTTGATCGGTTATGGTCATGGATGGCATTGGCCTTTGAAACGGCAGTGTTTAGCAGGATGTCTTAAATGCCAACAATTTTTAAACTAATGGGGAGGAGGTTGATATGATTGGAGAGGGAGGGATTCTCCACCAATGTAAACATTAAAGGGAAGGTCATGTCTACGGAAAGTAATTTTGGCAATGTAGTTGAGGTTCTTATGATGATCTTTAGGAGCACTGTTCTGATATCACATCAAAGACCAGGAGGCAGGCGAGTAAGTCTTCTTCACAGTCTGACCAATTTTGGTTATAAATAGGGTAGTTTGCTGGGGAGACATAGTTCTGGTAAAAGTATTAAGGGTTGCATGAGGTTCTGCAGGAATAGGGTTGCCAGAGAGATCAGTTAAGAGTTGATAATGCTATAGCTGGATAGTAGAAGGGGTTTGAGAAGGGATGGAAATTAAAAAGTACGTGAGGGGTGAGGGCTGAGGCCCAAGGCAGGGGAAATCCCCAGCATTGGGTCCCAGTCCTCACCTCCTAAAGTGCTATATGACATCAAAGGTCATATGGCACTATGGTAAAGTATAGAAGCAAAAATCATTAAGTGTTAATGATTAGGGTAAAGTTAGAGGTTGAACACCATTAGGTTGTTACAAAAAGGTAGAAGTGGGGGAACCGTTGGGGTATAGTATAAGGTAAATGCTGAGGTCCCAGGTAAAGGTGATCCCTACATTGGGCCTCTGTCTCTGCCTCCTAAACCTCCCCACAGCAACAAGCAAAGGAATGGAGGAAGGGGGGGGATTAATCAATATATAAAGTTAACATTCCCACTGGAATAAATTGGCTATCTTTTATATCACATGATTAATTTCAAACTGCTTATACTGAGGTGTAGGTGGATAATTATACCTTTATTATCAAAATACATAACTGGTATGAATTTAATGAAAAATAAATAATCCCATGGGAAAAAAGTGACAGGGAAAATGGTGCCTTCAGAAAGAAATCTTGGTAATATTGGTGTAGGACTTACACTAGTCTCTGGGCAGAATAGTGCTGCACTGTACACCACTACACCATGAGGCAAATGAGTTGATTATTTTCACAGTCTCTCCAGTCCTTGTCATAGACAGGACACTGAGTTGGGGAGACAGAAACCATTCCAGGACAAGTATTAACCCCTTGGTGACAGGTTAAGAAAACTAAAAAAAACATCAACAATGCTCTGGTGATCAATGGTAGCGCACCGACTTTAAGCGCGGGAGGTGTCAAAACAAACCACTCCATCTGTGGCGTGCAGCTGTAAGCTGCGGCGGCGTGCCAAAGTGCTACAAGCTGGTGATTCGGCTTGATGTACCAAACTCCCGCGTTCAAAGTCGGGCGCATTGCCAGTGATCTCCAGAGCGTAGAGTTTTTTTAAAAATTTTCTTCACCCATCATCAAGGGGTTAATGGCTCTAATAGGAGTAAAAAATCTTCATTATTGGCATGGTGAGCTTGAAATAAATGGGGAAAAGAAAGGGTAAAAGAAATGGGGAGTAAGTGCAAGGGGATTAACCAAGGGAATACTGTCCCCCATGGTATTATTTCCATCCTTTCGGCATAGTTATCACATCTTAGTAAATGGACAGAAGGGAATCAGGAAGAGAAGGAAAAGGAAAGTGGGAGAAGAAAAGGCCATGCAAAATTAGTTGAGGAGAGGGCAGAGGTCAAAGGTAGGGGTGATACAAAAATATGCCCGAAAATCAAGGGCAATGTTAAATAGGTGAGATAGGTCAGACTTATTGGTGACTAAGCACTTGTAGAGCCATCTATGTGTAAAACAAAATTAATCCGTACTATCCAGATGATGTGACCATCACATGAAAAAAATCTAGCTTGACCTAATGCCGACAGATGAAAAAATCTTAAACTCTGGAGATCAGTGGCAACGAGTAGACACTGGACGGGGGAGTCTACTACATCAAGCTGATGTAGCGTACAGCCATATCAAGTAGACTGAGCAGTTTGTTATAATGCCGATAGGTGTGGCCAGTCAGAGTTGGGTTAAGGGGGGGGGGGGGGTGACATAAACATGCTATGATGGGAAAATTTAGCTGTGGGCCAGGGTGATACAAACAAGCCATCATGAGTATTTCAGTTGAAGGCCAGGGAGATGGTAAAAACTTGCCACGAGTATAAAAAGCTCTTGAAGGGTGATTAAACTCTGAAGGGGCTTTTGCATTATTTCCATTGATAAACCAGTGTGGAATGTAATGGCCGTGAGCCATGACTGGAAGAGCATCGGTTCCAGGGAGGATATCACTTCCTTGCTCAGGATTCTATTCCGAGCTGTCATGACCAGCATGTTGTTTTACAGAAAATTGAATATTATGAAGAACTATAAAATACAAATTAAACAGATACCAAAATGCTATCATTATTATTATTGACCTGAGTTATAGACTACCTAGGGAGCCTGTGCAAGAAATAGTCTACTACTATCTGGATAAAGCAAATCATATGACAAATTTATACATTCGAATTTGGCAAAAAAGCTAAAATCACCAATGTCTAAAGACGAAAAATAACATGGCAAAGGAGAGGACTGGAGTCTTGTCACCACACAGGAATGTTCATATGTACCCAGCCTACAAGCCACATGCCCGCAGAGTGGCTGATTATGCAAGCCAGATGCCCATATTTTGACAGTGAAGCATCCAGATTCATTGGGTTAATAAACCATGCCATCCAATCTAACACTGGGTATTCAATTTATATGTTGCAACAAATAATACATTCTAGACACTATAACTAAGCACACTGAAATAAGGATGAAAAGTAATGAAACCTATAAAGATCAATATCAAATCTTTTATGATCCAGCATACATTTCTCATCAATTAACATCAAATGTTGTTCCCTTAATCTGCAATTACAGACTTCAAAAGTAATATATCAACTGAAAAACTTTTCTTCTTAAATCATACAGCACAGACCACAGACTCCTTCCACGCATGAGTGTGCTCCAGGAACACAGAGTAGTAGCATAAGCAGCTCAGCTCATCAAGTAGCCACTGTAAAGATACAAAGAAAAATTCAAAGTTATTCATGACCCTAAGGACTATGGTTTATACAGTATTTAAATTTCTATTTCTTATATATAATGTTTAGCTTTATTAAAAAAAATCAATGTGGTACTTGACATTATTAGGGTAAGTCTCTCTCTTGCACACAGGACATGCATTTGCAAAGAAGCCTTGTATCAATCTGAGGTCAACCATCATCAACATATGACACCTCAAGTGACATCAAACATTTACATAAATGGAACGTTTGTTTAACAGGCATTGCAAATTTGCCATTACTTTTAGGCACTACACATCATACATTATAGTAACCCTCTTGTAAAGTAAATCTACCAGTTTTTCCCCTATACCCTTAACCCAATGGTGACGGGTGAAGAAAACAAAAAAAAAAACTACACTCTGGCAAACAATGGCCGTGCACCGACTTTGAGCGCGTGAGTTCGGTACATCAACCCGAATCACTGGCTCGCCGCGCTTTGGTGCGCCACCGCAACGTACAGTCGCACGCCAGCTTTCGAGCGGTTTGTTTTCACGCCTATTGGCGTCACCCGTTGGGAAGGGGTTAAAAGTTAAGACTTCCTATTAATCATCGTATGTGGTTGACCAACAACGACATTCAATAATTCAGAAATGAGTAGCATCTCCTTATTTTTCACGCTTGCACTACGCTATTTTATTAACATACAGCTGACTTCCATGTTTTGGCTCCATTATCTATCCTAGGCAATGTACAGCAACAGCCTCAAGGACCACAAAACGTCAATACTTACGGAAGTTTGATTTTCATGAAGGCGTAGCAGGCAATAGAAGCAATGATGACGCATGCGAACCCAATGATGATAAGGAGGATTCTGTTAAGCTTTGGCGTTGATGGGACGTGCGTGTGATCCAGGACAATGAATCCAATGCCTCCCAGCGCAAACATGAAGGACGAGGCAAGACCCTCCATGATGTACTGTCCGTTCACTCTGTAGGCCATGAAAGCAACCTGGAAATGTAAAAAAAAAAAAATTAAATGATAAACAGCCCTAATAAGAAAAATTACATATTTTTTTCTTGTTTTTTATGGATGAGTGTCCTAGACCAATTATATACATTTAATCATTTTGTAATTTCTCAATACATCTATACAATATCTTGCATTATTGTCACTGTGGAGAAACTATTTGTCATTTAAAATTAAATGAAAAACAACATATGCATGTCTATTTCTATATCTAAATGCATCACTAATGCAAGGCAAAACATTTTGTGGTGAAATGTATACAGATGAGAAACTGTACTAATACTACAAATAAAAAGAAAATGTGTGGAGTTAACTTTAGTTAGATTAGAAATCTTTTACTTACAGGCCGAGAATGTCCATGTTCATCTGTTGTAGAGCCCACACTGGGAGGTTCGACAATCACATCATAAATGATACCTGAAAAAGTGAAAATAAAGATCATTACATCATAAAGACAACTGCAAACCATCACATTAACCCAATGCTAGCAGGGACATGTCATCAGCACTGTACTTTTGTAAATGTTTTTTTACATAAAGTACTCAGCCACCAAGAAGTCAAATCAACTAGCCTATCATCACCTCACCCAATATTTTTTTTTTTTTTTTTTTATAAAGCTATCAATTGTATCCTGTTACTACTATTTTGACACTGATAATTATGACATTAACAATATTTATAAAAATAAATGGATTCCACGGTGACTAAGGACTTCGAGTCATCTACTGTAAACAATTTCAATAACCTGAAATCAGTGGGCATGGTATGTACGTACATGCCATCTCCAGCGTGTGTGTGTGTGTGTGTGTGTGTGGGGGGGGGGACACACAGAAAGTACTACATTAAAAACTGTGTGTGGGTGTTCTGGACGTAGTCTCTGAGCAATGACATGCAGAGGACATTTTTGTCATTTCTTGGTAAAGATGAAGCCCCTGCAGATGTACCTGAATTGCTGATCACTATTTTTTATGCTCTATAAGATGGAATCTCCCTCTGTCTCTGTGTCTTTCCCTCAGTAACATTAACCCAACAACCTAAGATGCCGTGATTGGGTGTGCCACTGCCCAAGGGGAGGGTTGATGGGGCCTCTGCTCCCAACATCCCCTGGCATGCGCTGTCTTCACCTTGGTTTGCATAGCAAGAGAGAGCCAAGCCTCAAGAGCAACATAGTCGTACTCTCAGTGATTCTTTTCCCTGTTAATGTCTGCAAATTATTTCTTGTACCAATGAATACAACTTTTAGTTATCTACAAGCATATTATCTTCAATTTGTCCTACCTAGGTGCATCCATAACACTAAAGATTAACCTTGTTTTCCCCTCAGTATGCATGGCAATACCTAGGTGCATCCATAACACTAAAGATTAACCTTGTTTTCCCCTCAGTATGCATGGCAAAAGAACTGAAACTTAGGAGGACCAAGTGGGTATTAAGCTGTGTGAGGCTCTACACAATATTTTCCCTTCATTTGTGGCATTCCAATTTGTATCGGCAGATTATTTCTTATAATGATGACTGCAACTTTTAGTCCTCTACAAGAATATCAGCTTCAATTTGTCCTACCTAGGTGCATCCATAACACTAAAGATTAACCTTGTTTTCCCCTCAGTATGCATGGCAAAAGAACTGAAACTTAGGAGGACCAAGTGGGTATTAAGCTGTGTGAGGCTCTACACAATATTTTCCCTTCATTTGTGGCATTCCAATTTGTATCGGCAGATTATTTCTTATAATGATGACTGCAACTTTTAGTCCTCTACAAGAATATCAGCTTCAATTTGTCCTACCTAGGTGCATCCATAACACTAAAGATTAACCTTGTTTTCCCCTCAGTATGCATGGCAAAAGAACTGAAACTTAGGAGGACCAAGTGGGTATTAAGCTGTGTGAGGCTCTACACAATATTTTCCCTTCATTTGTGGCATTCCAATTTGTATCGGCAGATTATTTCTTATAATGATGACTGCAACTTTTAGTCCTCTACAAGAATATCAGCTTCAATTTGTCCTACCTAGGTGCATCCATAACACTAAAGATTAACCTTGTTTTCCCCTCAGTATGCATGGCAAAAGAACTGAAACTTAGGAGGACCAAGTGGGTATTAAGCTGTGTGAGGCTCTACACAATATTTTCCCTTCATTTGTGGCATTCCAATTTGTATCGGCAGATTATTTCTTATA